TACCACATGAATCTCCTTTTTTAAGATGGTATTTATTCATTATTCCACTTGCAAGTGAATCAGTCATTTCAAGAACTTCTTTATTTTTTAACCAAATATACTCTCCAATATATTTTTTACCTTCTCTCTTTCTATATCCAAAAAAATCATTTTCTGGATTCTTTTCACATCGTCTTTTAACAACTTCATATGTAGTATGTTGTTTCATATATTCCATATCATCTTTATCACCAGCATTCCAATGTTCTATTTGATTAAGAAAATAAAATTTATTTCCTTCTTTTTTTGTGAAACTTGAATCATAACTTTGTGTTTTCATTTGATAAAGCCTTAAATAATTCAAGTTTAAATATCTCTTTAAAGATATTAGAATATTCTTTATCTTGTCACTTTTGTCAACGACCTTTATACCCTTATAAAAACTCCATATGGAATATTTTGTTTTTTATAAATTGAATAATAAACTATATTAAATATCATAAGAATTACTTTGTCATTAATAGCCATACTTTAGTTTAATCGATGTTTAAATTCATCATTCCTTTTTCATAATTTTTTGTACAAATAGTTTGTTTCATCTATCATAAATTCATCACCATCTCTTCTTTTTAAATAAAAATTTTTTAATTTCAACAAAGTCAAAAAGTGGTACAAAAATCTAATATTTAAATAGAATTTTTATTAAATTTCAATGATAATTATGTATTTTAATAAATCATAAATTTGTAGATAACTTAGAAAACTTCTTTTTTTCAGTTACTCTCTTTAACTATAAAGTGTTTTCTATCACTAATAATATCAATTGTATTAGATTGTTTTTGTTGTTCTTTTCTTTAATAACAAACTTCTGTTTTTGTTAACACAATAATCAACTACTTGAAAACAAACTAACAATTGGTTTCAAAGAATTCAATAAATTGAACCTCACAATTTAATACCTTAGCTATAAACAAGGTAATCACACAAATAAGAATAGCTTAAGAAGATATTTCAAAGAAGAAAATTCTTCTTCTAATAAATTAAAGAAGAACAAATACCAACAAAGAAATAGTTGAACAAACAAAAACACTTTTTTAGTGGAATTTAAGATTTAGAAATTCATAACATTTATTGCTGTAAGAAACTATGAAGTATACTTAAATTAAAATAAAGAAAGAAGTAGTTTAAATACATAACTTCAAAAAAGGGGATATAAATAGGACAAATGAAGAATTAAAAAATAAAAAATTGAAAAGAACTTTAAAAAGAAACAAAAAGAAGATGATAAGTCCAACAAATGTTTTTAAAGAAATAGATAAAGATAAAGATGAATTAATAACACTTGAAGAAGCATTAAAAGGAGTTCATTATGAAAAAGAAGAAAAAGAATTTAAACAATTTGAAGAAAATGTATTATTGATAATAGATTCAGACAATGACAATAAAATAACATGTAAAGAATTTAAACAATTTTTTAAAATCATAGAAATAGCACAAAATATTAAAATATGTCAAAAAATGAATTTTACAAATATTCAAATTCCATTTCCAGAAACTGAAAAATTAAAATTATATTTTAGATGTTTTAAAACAAATAAAAAAGGAGAAATTACAACAGAACAAATATTAAATTGGAGTAGAAAAATAAAAGACCCACAACAACAAGTATTTATTGAAACAAGTTTAAGAAATATGAATTCGAATAAATGTGATGAACAATTATTTACAAAATGTTTTATATCACCAGATGGATATATAATGGAATATTGTCCGAAATATATAAACGTATTTAAAGAAATAGATTTAAATCAAAATGGTAAAATAGATATTCAAGAAATTATGTATCACATTTCACGTATTTTTACAGTCCCTGAAAATATGAGAGATTTTTTTACAATTGTTATAAAGTTATTAGATTCTGATGGTGATAATGAACTAAATCTTGTTGAATTTGTTAAGTATTGTCTTGCCTTAAATCATTTATTTGATTTTTCAAAGGGTGGTGAAATTACAAAAGACCATATGTTAATGGTTTTATATGAATTAGTTGATATTGATGGGAGTGGTTTAATTGATAGAATGGAAATGGAAAGATATTTTAATATCCTTCATACTCCTTTTGATACTAGAGAAACAGTAAGAAATATTATGAAACAATGTGGAGGTGTTATTGATTTTGAAGTATTTAAATATTTATATTCCTAAAGAACAATAAAAGAATATATGAGAAAAAAAGAGAGAACAATTAACATAATTTCTTTATAAAAAATGATGTAATTCAATTATTTGTCATAAAATATTTCCTTTTTTTCTTTTGTTTTAAATTTGTATTTTATTTTAATGCGTTACTTCTTTTTAAATTAAGAACGAGTAGATAAATCTTTGTCTTCTTCAGTTGATGGTGTTTCACTTTCTTCTGGATAAAGAATTTGTCTTAAATATCTTCTTTCTTCTTGAAGGTCTTTCATTCTCATTTTCATTTGTGACATTTTTTGAAGATACATTTGATTTTCATTAAAAGTACTTACTCTTAATTGAATAATTTGATGAACAAGAAACAAAACTCCTTGTTTCGTTTCTAGTTGAGAAGTTATATGAATTTCAATCATTCGATAACCCTCATCAGAAAGA